ATTATTATTATTATTATTATTATTATTATTATTATTATTATTGAATTTACTTGAGTGGGTTTGATTTAATAACTCAAGAAGCATGTATGCAGAGCTGCGAGTGCTGCAAATGGGAGGTAAAAAGTTATAGTGCGACTTTAACATTAAGGAGTAAGGAGTTTTACTTTGATAAATGGGGATATGGAATCAATACTTTATCAATCAGCCACAAATAATAATCAGAGCTCATGTTGGGTTTGTATTGCTATAAAAGGTGCTCATGGGAGTAATCCCCTTTGATAGAGATGATTATTTAGATTTATTGGCATGGATAAATAGTTCTGCTTTTAGTCTGAGTGTAGCTTAAATGTATTGAATGGAACAAACTGTATGCCCCCTGCTATAAACACAGTTCTAGGCCATCCTCTATTAGGGTGATAGACTGCTGTTTAGGTGAGCGAAGACTAAACAGTACTTGTATTCCAGACAATTCTGAGCACATTAATGACTTAGCACAGCACATTTATGATGAAGAACAATAAAAATATATCATAATTATAATCCAGATGATTGGAGCATTGGTGCGCGGCTACAGTCTGTGCTAGGAACATGGGGAGGGTCTCTGGTTCAATACATATTTGTGGGTCTGGTATTATTCATAATGATCATATTGTTAATATCCTGCTTGAAAAACGTGTGTACTAAAGCTGCTGCTTCTGTGCTAATTGTACGCCATGAAGGGAACACAGGGGTCAAGAATGATTTCCTGAGAAAGGTTTCTACATCTCTTATCTAGAGGTAGAACATAATTGGAAGAACAATAAGGTTCTAAGGGAGGACTGAAGAATAAAGAGATAAGAGAGATGGCCGGGAAGTGAGATAATAATATCATTTTCTTATTTTTGTATGTTTTTGCAAACTATGCAGTCTAGTGGCTTGACGTAGGATTTGTGCTCAAATGTATATAAAGATGCAGCCTGTCCTTGGTCAGTAAGATAAGGGCATGTATTTGGTAAGCTGGATGTACGCCCAGAATATGAAAAGAACTAACTGTTGTCTAGTCTGCTAACTTAGATAGCTAACTAACTTAGATATAATTAATTGGTAGGTGTTGCTGTTTCATCATTTGTTTAGAATATGTCATAGTAACTCTTTGTGTTTTAAGGTATAAAGGACCATCTTCGGCTACTTATTTTTTAAGTCTGATGGTCGCAAGCCGGCATATGAATAAAGAGACTTCTTCTTCACAGACACCTGAACTTTGTCATTTGTTTGACACTACAGTATGAATACTTACATGATCATCTATTTTCTGTTATACATTTATAATTAATTTAGGAAGATTTGTAGAATTTTGTTGTCACTTTGATCTTATAGAATGTTTTGTGCTTGTTCGATGGCAAAAATGTCCAAATAAATATAAAGTGATTCTATATTGTAAGAAAGTGAAAAAGTCTAAGAAAGCTAATGCTTTTGATAGCCACTGTAGCTCTAATTAAATATTGCAAGTTGTTTTCAGAGTAGATTCTGTAGATAAAAAACAGGCACTCATGTCAGAATTGTATCAACAACAAAAGAATATTATCAAGCAGAGAAAACAGCAGCACTGGAAAGGCAGGTGCAGGCTGCAGTTGAAGAAGTTGATCAACTGGAAAATCAGTCCAGATAAAACAGACCCAGAGCATTGAACTTGCCAGAGACATACTATCAAAGAAATTAGTCAATAACAGGAAAGCAACCGTATTTCCAGATCTTATTTATTGTAATCAAACTTGCTTTATTCTAAAAGTTCCCTTCTGGAGAAGATATGAGTTAAATTGAATGAATATTTGTGTAGAAATAATGTAGCAGAATCATGGAATAAGTGCTCGAATATGATATATGATTGTTACGTCCCAGTGTGTGTTTTTTATGTTCCACACTGCTGACCTTTGATAGTTCTCCCTCCCCCATTGGTCCACTATTACACCACTGTTCCATGTGACATCATCATCAATCAGCCTCTCAGCCAATCAGACTGCATCTTATTCAATATATAACATGGAGGTTTTCAGGAAGGACTTTAGCTTCGGTCCTGCTTGGTTTTGGTTATTGCTTCACTTTGCTTCACTTTGCTTCACTTTGCTTCACTTTGCTTCACTTTGCTTCACTTTGCTTCACTTTGCTTCACTTTGCTTCACTTTGCTTCACTTTGCTTCACTTTGCTTCACTTTGCTTCACTTTTGGTTATTGCTTTGGCTTTGTTGGTTTGTTTTGTGAGTGTGTATTTTTGTATAGCTTTGGATTTGTTGTTTTGTTGGTTTCTGTTTGTACTTTTATTTGTTTGTGTTTATCCTTGTTTTGCCATTACCTTGCCCTAATGTGTTACATGTTCAACCTTTGTGTTCTTTTGTACCCTGTTCCTGGTGATTACTTTTGTATTCCTAGTTCACTTGTGTTTTCGTGTGAACTTTTGTGTATAAGGTTAGTTTGGGTTGTTGGGTACATTCTACACACTTAGTTGATTTTGTATTAGTAACATTAGTTTAGTATGGGTGAGTGCTGTTTGTCTGGTTTTGGGTAGTCGGTGGAGGTTAGCTAGGGTGTTGAAGACGCCGAAGACCATGTGTTTCGCGTTTTCTTTTGTAGTCAAGTTAGCTTTCCCTCACTTTCCTAGCCAGCTCCATTTTGTTTGTTATTCTTTTCTTTGGCACCACTCTAGTTCCTTACTCTGTGTGTTATCGTGTCTTACCAGTCACTTATTCAATTTAAAATCGTCACTTTTGCACCCACCTTTTTCATCCTTCCTAGTCCCTCACCAGAACCCACGTGCTTCCAAAAGAATTATCCTAAATGTTACACCCCTTTACCTCTAGACATTTGGGGTCATAACAATGATATTATAATGAAAATGTGTGGTTAATTCAATATATAATTTTAACACAAATGTATTATGTTAGAGGTAAAATTAATCAGTTTTGTATTAAAACATCTGTTATATATTAAAAGTAAAATAAAAATGATTCACTGATTTATTCCATTTGGGAATGCTGGAAAGTTCTTAGTGTACAATAGATACAGTTAGAGGGCTGGCTATCTTCCACTATCATAATACCACTAATACCGGTTTTGTCTTTTATTACAAGATAACTCGCATGACCTTTCTTTGAGACACCCATTAGGTTGTGATATATTGTGCTTTAATTTTAAAGAATCTCCTGTTGACACATTGTAGATCAAGTTAGCAAAAATACATTTTTTTAATTATATAAAGTTAAGAACTGAAGAAAAGTTGAGCAGCAAAAGATGTAGAGCTATACAGAGTCCTTCCCAATGATTCTTTATAGATCCTAGAAACATTTTGCCGGCTTAATGACTATTGCAAAATGAAAAAAAAATGCCACAAAGGTCTCTAGCTCACCCTTTCAGTACTCTAACCCAAACAGAATCAGGACCTGGAGTCTTTCTCTTCTTAATTGTTATAAAAAAACAATTTATAAACCTTAAAATTATCAATGTTAATAACACAATCAGAGATACTGCTGCTACAAACATTGATTTTGCTAGTAAAATCATGTACATCAAACCAATTCATCACAAGGCCAGGATCTGATTTTCCACCTGTACTAATGTTCCTGCTTTCCTTCCCATGCCTTCCCACCATTGACTTGATACTCTGCCATGCAGAGCATGAATTACGTTCACTTATTTCACCCTCATTTTTAACTTGATGCCTTAGTTTAGCCAACTTAATGTCTATTTGAACATTCATTTAAGTCTCCCTACTCAAAGCAACATCTCCTTACTGATTTTTTTTGTTTAGAATAGACTTGAGAGATTGTGTCAATCAAGGCTTTTTATAATGGGATAGAGTACAAGATTTCAGAGGTATAACAGTATTTTTACAAAAGGATACATAACTAGTAACTGTATCTGTCAGTTAGTCAAGATTAGAACTTGAATGCTTAATGAATATCCCATTGACTCATAAAACAGTCCTTCAGTTACTGTACAATTCCTCAGTCCCAACCAGAACCACTCTGTGTTCAACTTTACCTCTCTTCAGGGCAGTTTTGTAGGTTGGAACCAAGTACCCCACACTGTGGGCTGAGGGACCCAGTGGCACTTTAGCAGTGGTTTTGTATAACTCCTTAATTGATCTGTAAAACTTTCAATACTCTATTATCCCTCACTGGACAGGTGACTTTTGTAGGATATATTGGTTAAAATCTGAACAGTCTGGGTCATTCTTTCCATGGCCCTAAGGGATGTAGTCCAGGCAATAGGATTGCCTGAAGCTCTACTTACAAGCACTTTGCTTTCTTGCATGTAGTGTTTCTAAGTGAAGGGGTTTCCTGCAGGCTCAGCTGAGGTTCTACTTCCTACATGCCTGTCTCATTTAGCCAGTCCCATTTCCTTTTGTGTGCATTCGGATGTCTTACCGCAAGAGATGTATATGTTCATGCATTCAGATGTCTTACCTTGAGCATTCTACATGATTATGCATTCAGATGTCTTACCTCCAGCGATCTGTATGAAGCCAAAGATGATGATAATTCCAAGGGCAAGAAGCTTTGATGCAGTGAACAGATCCTGGACCTTGGTGGCAGCCTTCACACTAATGCAGTTCACGAATGTCAGCAGAGCTGTTGAGACAGATGAGGGTGTAGAAAAGGCTACCATGTTTACACATTCTTTGAGTAGTATTTATATTTTTTAGATGGTATTTTTCAAGGTAGAAAAACACATTATACACAATGATACTTCTAAGATGTTTTAGTATCATCCATATATTTTCTAATTGCTTTATCCAGGGTCACAGGTTTGTCAGAGCCTACCCCAGCAAGCAGTGGGCACAAGGCAGGGTACACCCTGGATGGGACCCCAGTCCATCACACAGGAGACACACAGACTTAAACCTAGGGATAATTTTCTCATAAGCCAATTGACCTACTAGTATGTTTTTGGACTGTGGGAGGAAATCGGATCACCCATTGGAAACCCATGCAAATGTGGGGAGAACATAGAAACTCCTTATTTGCAGTAAACATGAAAGAAGAATGAAAATGCAGGCGAGGAAGAGTGAATCAAGGCTATTTTCTTTGTGCATGGTGCTCAAGATACTTCACATCACCATGTGCCAGCACTCTAACCTACCTATAGCAGATCACAGGTAAGCCGCAACAGGCCTAGTTTTACTCACTGAGACAGAGGCAGGCGATGAGTTTGGCAGCCAGGTCTGGCACACCGCAATCAGGATAGAACGGCTTCAGGATGTACGTGGCAAAAACCAAAGACACCACGTACTGAGATGACGGACGGATGATCAGCATCTCCACCCAGAGCTTGAGGAAAGCAGCGAGGCTCCCATACACCTCTAAGATGTAGGTGTAGTCTCCACCTGACTTGGTGATGGTGGTGCCCAGCTCGGCGTAACACAGGGCCCCCAGTGTGGAATACACACCACATACCACCCAGATGATGAGGGACAAGCCCACAGAGCCAGCCTGCTTCAGCACCCCCGTGGGCGTGACAAAGATTCCCGAACCGATGATGGTGCCGATGATCATGCCTACTCCGTTGAAAAGGGTGATGTTCCGCTTGAGCTCGATCTTGCTTGTGCTTCCATCAGGACTATTTCCTTCTCTCACTGATTACAACAGAAACAGCAGAAAGACAAAAAGAGTGAGTTGTCACTAAAGGTAGCAGGGCAGGATTGTGTAATTATATCAATCAAGTGATTAATTCAACATAAGATCGATTGAATTATTACTGAAAGGGTCATAATGATATGTTTGCATAGCTTTATGTGAGCTACAGACACATAAGCAGAGATAATCAAAAGTGTTTATTCTGGTGAATTATGAGAGATTTTAACACAACACAATACAGAATAAAAAGAAACAGAAGGTGAAGAAAGGGAACTAGGAGGAAGATAGACAAACAGAGGATACACGGAGAAAAGAAATACTACCAGCCTTCTCCTCTATGTTTGTGCCCTCCAAGAGGACAGATAGATACTTTGTTGATCCCGTGAGGGAAATTGCAGTGCAACAGCATCTTAACAAAAACAACACAGCCACAGTGTAACGAATGATACAATAATAATAATAATAATACAATACATACAATACAATCAGTACAGTGAGGGTTGCACTACAAGAGTTACTCACAGTCCAGGACACACAAAGAACAAACAAACAAGAACAGAACAGTACACAGAAAAATCGTATTGCACATATGAATATAAATATAGATGTAAATATAGATATAAATATAAATGTATTGTCCCTGGCATATATTGCACAATAAACAGTTGTAAATGGGAAAAGAAAAAGAACAGATGTAGCAGTAGATGTGTAGATGTGTTCAGGCCAGAAAGAGGTCACTGTCAATGTTGCCTCTGCCCAGACATAAGGTGGATGCGTTGTACAGCCTTATGGCAGAAGGCAAGAATGACCTCCTGTAGCGCTCCCTGTCGCACCTTGGATGAATCATTCTATTGCTGAACGTGCTCTTCATTTCTACAAGCCTGACATTGAGGGGATGGGAGATGTTGTCCATGATGGCCTCTAGTTTGGACACCATTCTCCTTTCAGCCACTACCTCCAAGGGGTCCAGGTCAGACCCAATGACAGAGCTTGCTCTCCTGATGAGCTTGTTCAGCCTTTTAGAATCCACTGCTCTAATCCCAGGGCCCCAGCATACCACTGTGTAGAAAATGGCGCTCGCTACCACCAACTGATAGAACATATGTAGCATCTTACTACATACATTGAAGGACCTGAGCCTCCTCAAGAAGTAAAGTCGGCTCTGTCCCTTCCTATAGATTTATCAGAACCTTGTTCTGATAAATCTTGGAGACCAAGGTTCTGGTTCTTAAGTAATTATAACCTTGTTTTAGGGAGCTTGCTGTCCTATGTATTTTAAGAAATTCTGATTTCCTTTGTTGTTGGATACTAAGGCTACAATCTCTCTCCTAGGTGGTGATGTATCTTTAGAACTGGGAGACAGATTCACATTAACTTTTTTGCATTCATGTTGTAAGAAGGAAGATTTAGTGCTATGTTGGTATTCTTTTATTTAGGATGGAGGGTATTTCTCTTGTTTGGTGAAGGTGTTGCTTAGGATTTCAGGTTACTGGATTAGCATTCTGTGTATCTGGGTCTGTAGAACATAGGCCCCTAAGAGACATTGTTTTGTATATTGTGTAATTGGTATATATATATTAATATTTTCATGTTGTATGCTGTGCAATGGGTTGATGACTCTGAAATTACTTCTCTTTTGCCAAAGCTATCATAAAAAGGAATAGAGAATAAAAGTCTCTATTTCACATTAGTTACAGTACTAATTTGCCTCAAATAGTTACCTGCCACTTAGATTTATTTATTTATTCTTTTATTTTATTTTATTTCTGTAGAGTCCATAAAGTTCATAGAAATAGCAGGACATGTTTCCTCCAAGAAATAATTTGAATAATTCTAAGAGCTACAGCACATGCTTGTTCTTAAGGATGTCTCTGGATCTCAAATCACCAAGACTGAACAAACTTGCCTCTAACAGCTTTTTTAATAATATTCAATAAAATTAATCCAGGATACACAGTATCCCGTCTTGCACGTATTGCTTGCCAGGATAGATTGAGGCTCCCCCTGACCCTGAAAAGGGGCGGAAGGAATTATAATTCCTTATCATAAAGCTGCTTATTCTTGCTAAGGGATAACTTGGATCCTGTTCATAATATTTGGGGTATAGGGTGGGACTACACCCAGGATGGGATGCCAGGCCACAATATACAGTACATTATATTGTGCACATAGAAAATTAGGAACATGCAACTTCCACCAAGAAGGCACTGCAGATCGGAATCTTACACAACAGACAGCAGTGGTAAGCAGAATGCTACCATGCTCACTGATAACAAAAACAACAAGAATGTGCCTAAGACTGCTTGCTAGAAGGCACAATTTAACATGGCTCAGTAGGGCTTCTTAAACAAAACACCAAAATGTAATCACTCTGTTACTTCATGCTGCAGTTTTATTTTGAAACAATTAACTATTTTCACACTGTTCTGCACAGGCATTGCACTTCTAATAATATAAGTAATGTAAGTCACCCTGAGTAAGGGCATATGTTCACCAAATTCATATTAATATGAGTTTTTTATATCAAATGGGAAAACTTAGCCTGCACATCCAATGGGATCAGACTATAATAATACATAGCTATCGTTGTAAAAATAGAAGTGTGTCGTGGTGACAGAAAGCATTTCAATTTAATCCATTTCATCCAAAATTTTGTTTATTCATGAATGCCCAGGGAATGAGTCATTTTTCATTTGTACAGTTGGGTTATGGCAATATTTTACACATCAGTCCTATTTTAATTAACAGGCAGGATGCCAAAAGGGAGAGGAGTTGTAACAACAATTGACAGGAATGTATAAGTATATCGCATTTAACATGTAATGAAATTCATCAGTCTGGCCACTGTAATTGTTAAATAAAAGTGGTAGTTATAGGTAAAACATGCATGTTGACTTCTTGGAAAAAAGCCCACCTTGGTTGTATTTCATCTTGATCATACTAGAATATCATCACTTTGCAGTGACACAGATGTTCAAAATTAACATTCACACTATGGATATGTTATAAAAATATTTAGCTGGTTCTACATCATGCTAATATAAATGTCTCAATGTAAATTCACAAACATGCACAGCATACAGTAGTTAATATACTAAAACTCAGTGAGTGGCCTAAAGCACATATTTCTTTTATTTACCCTTTATTAAAGCCAGAGTCTGGGCAGCATTTTGCAATCTGAATTCCATTTCTATTTTATAAAGAATAATTAAGCACATTATTTATATGTGTAGCACTCAGTGACATTGTTTTTATTTTAATTTTAAGAAAGAAATAGCAAAATTCTGATTAAAAGCTTTTTAATGTCACCTGTGTTAAGTTGTAAAGCAATGCAATACCACACTGCACCATATCACACTGCTCTGTTCTGTATAGTTGTGCTCCCCTCACTGTGACTCACAGCACTGAAACATATTCACAGTTGCTTCTCCTTACCTTCCATTTCCTCCATCTCTTCCTTCTCCTTCTTCATGCTCTCTCCTCTCCTCGATTTCAGCTCTGTCATCCTGTTGGCTCTTTCAGATCCTATCCTGACTTGGATATGCGCTTATTCTGAGGGAATTCTTGTTTTCTTTGTTGTTATTTTTTAGAAAAAGATTATCTCAGACCCTGAGAAGAGGAAGCATCAATGTATTCTTTCTCTCTTGCCCTGTGGCAAACAGACAACAGTAATCCTGACACTTATTCATTCCAGGGTTATACCAGCATGCACATATGGCACTCACATCCTTGGAATATATACACCGTGAGGCTGTTTGTGTGTCCTCAATTATTCCTACGAGTGCCACATTGATCAGTGTTTTAAAGGCACAGCCCTCTCTTCAGCGATGCTCTCTTGTGGACAACTAGTAATATGACTCATTTTCTGTTTCAGGTGCAGAGATAAAGGGAAAAATAAATGTGTCATCTGGTGAAGGAGAGAAAAAGTCTTTTGCATATTTCCTTCAAACAACTTTCATATATTCTTTTCGTACACAGCACAGAAAATGGACCTTAAAAAGAATAAATAAAATAAAAAATAGATAAAAAGAATCTATTAATCTGTTTTTACTTCATGTATTATATAAAAGCTACATGAAATTTTGCAATTCCAATTCACAACCATACAACTTACAAGATACTTCTGCAGTTTTCCTTCAAACAACTGCTTGTATATACCTCTTATACACAAAAGAAAATATGTTAAACTCCTCAGTAAAAGTCTTAGGCTCTGTTACTATACATCTGAGCAAGCTTTGTTTCCAGTGTAGCGATATTAGGAAAACAGTCAAATGTGAGAGTGCTTTGATGAGCGTTAGGAATCAGACATAATAATTTAAAGTACTACAGATGGATTATAAATATACAATATACAATTTATTGATACAACAACAAAACCTGCATAACAAATGAGTAATAGAGTATAGAATATATTTGTCAATAAATCTTCAGTGATTCAACAGGTTGATTGTTTACTCAGGGAGTACAATGGATAATAACATCAAAGTTAACATATATCAACTATAACATGTTATGGTTTCATAAAGTTAAATTATATTGTATATTCTCACATACAAATGTGCATTTACTATTGTGAACTAAACTATCAAACGTTTTTGAATAATAGTTATTTTTGTGATAATCGTGAATAAAGAATATTTATATTCTTTTATTACTCAAAAATCCATTGGCCATAAATAAATAACTCTTGCTACCTATTTCAGACAATAGCTTATCTAACAAATAAGACCGATTCTATAGCACCATCTAACTTTAGTAGTGACGATTTCATTAAACTTCTTCAATTATAAAATTAACACCATCAGACTTCAAACACAATCAAATAAGCTGCAAAGAAGTCTGGTACAGAAACAATATGAGCACCTCTTTAGCGTTTTTCAATTAGTCAATGAACAAGAACTCAAGAAATTAATTATTAAGACAAAGTCAACCACTTGTCCGCTAGATCCCTTCCCCACTCAACTAGTCAAAGATTTCCTCGAAGTAACTATAATTAGCATGATGAACAACATGCCCCTTGCATCGGGCGTTGTACCTGATCAATTTAAGGTAGAGGTTGTTAGACCACTCCTTAAGAAGCCAAATTTGGATCCACAAGTTCTTAACAACTACAGGCTTGTCTCAAACATCCCATTTCTATCTAAATTTCTTGAGAGAATAGTTGTGGCCCAACTTCAATCGTATCTGGACTCAAATAATATACTTGAGAAGTTTCAGTCTGGCTTCTGCCCAGGCCACAGCACTGAAACTGCATTAACAAGAGTCGTAAATTATATTCTGTTAGATACTGATGTGGGAAATGCAACAGCTAGATCTAGATCTTAGTGCTGCCTTTGACATGGTTGACCGCTCTGTTTTGTTACACAGGCTTGAGTTTGAGGTTGGCTTACAGTATGTGGAACCGTCCTTAAGTGGTTTACTTCATATTTAACTAATCGTTTTTATTATGTTCAAATATCTAATAATTGTACTGCTTCGTCAATGTCATCAGTTCAATTTGGGGTACTCAGAGATCAGCGTTGGGACCAATATTGTTCTCTCTGTTCCTGCTGCCGCTATGTAGGATAATACAAAAACATCATATTAACTGTCATTCATATGCTGATAACACTCCAATATACATTTCGCTTACACCTAATGACAACTCTTCTATTATCACTTTAGTTAATTACATTAATGAAGTAATGAAATGGATGTGTGGAAACTTTTTGTTACTCAACTTTGAGGTTCTGTTGTTTGGAGGCAACAATACTGATAGGACTACTATAAGCACTTAACTCAGAGGATTTAAAAATTTGCCTCAAAGACTCAGCACGTAACCTAGGCGTCATATTAATTATTAATAATAATTAATAATTGCTTACACTTATATAGCGCTTTTCTGGACACTCCACTCAAAGCACTTTACAGGTAATGGGGACTCCCCACCACCACCAATGCGCAGAATCCACCTGGATGATGTGACAGCAGCAATAATGCGTTAGAACGCTCACCACACATCAGCTATTAGTGGGGAGGAGAGCAGAGTAATGAAGCCAATTCATAGATGGGGATTATTAGGAGGCCATGATTGGTAAGGGCCAATAGGGAATTTAGCCAGGATGGTGGGGTTACACCCCTACTCTTTTCGAGAAACGCCCTGGGATTTTTAATGACCACAGAGAGTCAGGACCTCGGTTTTACCAGGACCAGGTCTCATCCGAAGGAAGGCGCCTGTTTACAGTATAGTGTTCCCATCACTATAATGGGGCAGTAGGACCCACACAGACCGCAGGGTGAGCACCCCCTGCTGGCCCCACTAACACCTCTTCCAGCAGCTACCTTAGTTTTTCCCAGGAGGTCTCCCATCCAGGTACTGACCAGGATCACACCTGCTTAGCTTCAGTGGGTTGCCAGCTGTGAATTGCAGGGTGATATGGCTGCTGGCCGAATATTAGACACAAGGCTCTCATTTAACTTTCATGTTAAAACAGTATCGAAAACATGTTTCCTACAGTTAAGAAATAATGCAATACTAGGTCAGTTTCTCTCTACTCAAGGCACAGAGAAATTAATACAAGCTCTTGTATACAGCAGGTTAGACTACTGCAGTGCCCTACTATCAGGGAGCACCCACCACTCTTTCAACACCTCACAGCGAATTCAGAATGCAGCAGCTAGAATTGTTAGTGGGAGTAGAAAGTATGAACAATATAACCCCTATACTTAGCTCTCTTCATTGGCTTCCTGTCAGGTACAGGGTGGACTTCAAAATCCTTCTACATACTCACAGGCTCTCAGAGGTCAAGCACCTGTCTATCTAATAGAACTTACCATCCAAGTTTCCTGCTTAGATCACGGAATGCAGGTCTTCTTCATATTCTACGCATTAATAAAAAAAAAACAGTTAGGGGTAAAGTCTTTAGTTACAGGGCCCCTACCTTATAGAACAGTCTCCCACCCCATATTTGCCGAGTCAATCTCAGTATTCAAATCCAGACTGAAGACCTATTACTTCAGCCTAGCCTGCTCACACCTTACATTATAGCCTGCTGCAACCATGGCCGCTGGTGCTGCTGTACATGCCATTGTGTCTTGGTCTCTATGTTGGCCTACCAGGTAGATACATCTGTCCTGACAAAACTATCCTATTGTCCTGAGTTGGATACGCGATCACTGTCATAGATCCAAGAGGGACATTTTGGATATGGATATCGTTTAGGATATTTTGCTGGTCTACAAAGATCTGCATGGAGTACTGACATACAGAAGACATGATGGATGGATGGATTAATACCGTCATTTATTTATTTCCTTTTTTTAAATTATATAATCTTAACATGCCCAAAGGGGTTGGGCAGCCAGTTGACCTTGGACCCCTGAGGTTTCTTTCTCCTTACTAAGGAGTTTTTGGTTCCTCTCCTCCATTGTTTTCTGGTCTTCTGTTCTGTATTCACAAAATGTATGGTTACTTGCATTGTTAAGCGCCTTGGGGCAACCTTGATGTGAAAGGTAATATATAAAAATGAATTGAATTGAATTTCATGATGAATCTAAATTACCAGCTAAGACAGAGATGGGCTAGATTTGTCCATCATCTGACTTGGCAGCTTCTTGCTCTGTGCTGGGAGTGTCCTGCTGCAGAGAGGGAAACTTTGGCTACTGTTGCTGAAGACAGCTCTTCAGGGAACTTAACGTCATCCTGAGCTTCGGCGTTAAAATAATCCATGCACAGACATCTGCTTGGGTCTTGTAGGAAGTTAGATGGCTTGGAGAAATGTAGTTCGTCGTGGATATACTGTAGCTTTTTACTGAACACCCTGAAAGAGTCCACCTGTCTTATTTTTGTTGATCAGGTGAAAATAACAATTGGTTAATTTAGAAAGCAAATCTTGGGTAGAATTCCATTCTTTACTGACTCCCTCTTTTGGCCAGGCTTCCTGGAAAAAAGTCCTAACTTGGACTGCTTGCTGTCACGTGTCACACGCTGTCACAAGTCAGAGTGTCAGGATAGTTGTAGAAAGAAGAGTTGATAATTGGTTATGTCATCATTTTTAGTTCCTCGTTTGGACGATCATCCTTTTGGTGATTGACAGTGACCTTTGACCCCTTATCTCGGGCAGACAAATGGACTGAGGGGAACCTGGCTGCACCATATATCAATAGGGTCTTTTAGAATAGACCTAACCAGCAGCCATATCACTCTGCAACTCACAACTGACAGCCTACTGAAGTGTGTGAGCTTGGTCAATACCTGGATGGGGAACCTCCTGGGAAAAACTGAGGTTGCTGCTGGAAGAGGTGTTAGTGGGGCCAGCAGGGGGCGCTTACCCTGTGGTCCATGTGGGTCCTAATGCCACAGTTTAGTGATGGGGACACTATACTTAAAAAGGTGCCGTCCTTCAGATGAGACGTAAATCCGAGGTCCTGACTTTCTGTGGTCATTAAAAATCCCAGGGTGTTTCTCGAACAGGATAGAGGTGTAACCCTGGCCAAATTTCCCATTGGCCCTTACCTATCATGGCCTCCTAATAATCCCCATTTATGAATTGGCTTCATTACTCTGCTCTCCCCACTGATAGCTGATGTGTGGTGAGCTTTCTGGTGCACTATGGCTTCAGTCGCATCATCAAGGTGGGGCTGCACACTGGTGGTGGTGGAGGGGAGTCCCCACTACCTGTAAAGCACATTGAGTGGAGTGTCCAGAAAAGCACAATATAAGTGTAAGCAATTTTTATTAGTTATTATTACAATGTCCTGGTCTGTGTTCCAGACCTGGAAGATGTTTCTTATCAGTTCTGCCCATTTTAGCTACATTCCTCCGCTTTTACACAGAGACCCAAGCAGAAATAT